AAGGTTTATTTTTCAAAGCTTATCGTTAGATTTAAAATTCTTTACTTTTAGATTATATATATATATATATATATATATATATTATATACTAAATTATGAATTATTTGGTTCCCTTTAAATTGTTGTTTAATTTTAACAAAATTTAACATAAACATACAAGATGAAATGAAATTATGATTTAACTGTTAGATTGACAAGAAGCACATGTAATATAAAGTTATTGAATTGTATAATAATTGGTAAAAGTTATATTGGTGTCATTTGGACTCTCTCATAATATAAAAATATCATACTTAATTACATACATCCTAAATATACGTAATTAAGAAAAACATGGTGTTACGTTGTACATTAACTGATTGAATTTTTCATGAAGAAGATAGGTGTTTATAGTTTCCAAGTTAAGATAAGTTATTTTTTTGCTATTGATAAAAATTACAATGACAATAATAAAATTCTAACTTAATACCCTATGTATATTACCTCAATCCCTCACTAGGTCTTGGGAATGTGCATTATATATTGTGAAATTAGTTTTAGTTTGAATAAGTCAATTAATTAAAATATGTTATGTTGTTAGTGAATTAGTTAATTTCATATTTTATTGTTAAGATATAAGTAAAAAAATTTAAAATTACGAAATATGATTTTTATTTTATTATTTTAATATATTTAAATATAAGTAATATTCAATAAAATAAAGTACGAGTAAAACTAAGTCATGTTATTTCATTGCTTTGTTACATTTCTTTATCTTAATACTAAAATCAACAGCATTCAACAAAAAAGCTAAGCAAATAGAGAAAAATTAATTTGACACTTAATTGTTATAGTATGATCGACCCTTTTTTTTTTGTTTTCAGAAATATTAGTTATTATTTTTAATCTAAAAGCATACTTTAATTTGAAAGCATATATTATGAAGGTACAAAAATGAAAGGAACCATTATTAGTGAAGGAATTATCACCTTTTTACAATGAAGTAGAACATATTCAAAATTAAATTTAAACAACATAAAAGTCATCACAAAATTAAAGATATAACGAAGAATAAAGTCATCATGGGATGAGTCTTCCGTCCTTTCTTATATGTAAACACAAATGTTATTTGTATTATGTTTGCAAATCTTAACTATAAATGAGCATTAACAATGTAAATTTCTCAACACTTTCTATTCTTTTTTTTATTTTTATCAGTTATAAGAAATGTATTAAGGAAGCACTAGGGGTGCCAAACCCAAATACAAAAATATTGAAAAATAAGAAAGGAATTACAAAAGGTTTTATACTACTCCAAAATTATATGGAAATTTCCCAACACTTTCGATTCGATTAAAAAATTTGTTTGGTTTACCTGTCTCTATGACAACATGAACGCTGTAAAGCCATAAAGCATCCATGGTAGTGTCTTCACTCCTCATCAACATGGATCATTCACATGGAACAAAGAATATTTGGTTTCCATTGAACATGGCTCAGAATCTATAACTAATAATAAAGGTAATAGATTATTTTTTACGTATTTTTGTTTTAATTTTATTTTTAAACTACTGTTTTACAAATTGTAAACTACTCACATGATTTAAATAACTATCCTACTCTACTAATTATTTATTTATTCACTAGTTGATTATAACTTGAAAAGATCTCAACTGCACATTTGTCTTGTGAGTTGTAACTGTATCCCCTTGGGGAAATATATGGTCAAATAGACACATCAATTTATTCAACTTTCACAAGTTCAATTACCCAAGAGATGTTATATATATATAAAGTTACATTAAAAATAATTTATTTTAGGTCCATTTGTGTTATATTTTTGTAGTAGGATCTATTTTAGAAGCATTATTTTGAAGAAAAGAAATGATTTGAGTTTGTGTAAGATTTGTTTTTATTTAAATTAAAATATGTCTGACAAAAAGTTAAAAACTAATTAATCTTTTAAGACATTGAGATCCATCTAAAAAAATAATTTCTTTTAACAAATATTTTTTTATGCACAATTATTATAAACAAGGTTGACTCAATATATATTTTTAGATCTAAATCAAATTTTAGAGTGAAAATATCCTTTGAATTGATTTTTGAAAAGAATTAATATATTTAAATTATAAAACTTTTGGTAAAACTCAATGTATTTAAGAGAGTGACCTTTAATATAGTGAATTAAAAGGTATCTTTATTAATTTAAATTAATATAAGTTACTATTTTAAAGAAAAAAATAACAGAAAATATGGATCTTATATAAATCATACAAATGTTGATGTTAAATATTTTTTTAGAAGGATCCTAAGGATTTTATTAGTATTATGGTTGGGTCGGTCTTAGCATTTGACCACATTAATATTTAAAGGACAAAATTATATATCAACTGTATCATGCCTCGTTAATCATGTGTATGATAATTTAAAAGTAAATTTAGGAAAATAATTTATTTTATTAGTAAAATAAATTATTTTTAGAATATAATTAATAATAAATAAAATATTAATTATATGTCTAACACGTAATATCAAATTTACCTTAGAAAAAAGTTGAGTTTCGTTTCACAAAAAATTAATTCCACCAAACATAAAATTGAATTTGGAAACCCTTTAGGTATAAAATCTAGGTAATCTTATTCATAACTTATCAGTAAGATTATTTGTCGAAAACTATATTTTATCATTTTAATCTCAATATTATATAATAGTTGGATTATATCTTTTGATTATATTAGATAGGATTTGTTTTTATCATTTGATCCTTTCATAAAATCATTTATTATAGTATAAATTATCTTTTTTTCTTTTAATTCTTTTAAATTAATATTTTTAATGATAAATATATTATTTTGTAATCTCACAAGTAAAATTTATAAATTCAAAAAGAGGTAGATTTATTGTAAATCTATCGACCACTATGTAAGAGATAAATTGACTATGCACACATTTATTCTAATGTAAATCAAAAAATAAATTGAATTTAACTACTCCAAAATAAGTATACGTATAAAGTAAAATGAAGAAATTAATTATAAAATTATTCTTATTTTCTCATTCTTATACTCTTACATTTTTTCATTCTAGTCACTCAGTTATTTTGGTGGAGTCCAATTCTTACTGTCAAAATTTCAAGAGACTAGAAAATATTTTACAGTATGACAAGAACTTTTGTTTTGAATAATTCATTTGCCTTTTGTGGCCTCTCTTTCTTAAATAGACAGCAAGATATATGTTTTTACAAGAAGGTGAGAGATTACAGGAGTTATACAAGAAATGGGGAGATTATAGGAGATTTCCTAACAGTTAGGATATATGCCCGTATAAAATAATATAGCTATAATCCTATTAAAATAGGTAATAAATTACATTAAATATATTATTAACATCCTTCCTCAAATTGATGCTGGTAAGTCAACCAACAACAATTTGCCAACAAGAAACTTATGGCGTTGTCTAGTCATAGCTTTGGTAAAGATATCAGTCACTTGAAGATCTGTGGAGATGTAAGGAAGAGAGATGACTTTATTGGTCAAGGCTTCCCTAATATAGTGACATCAACCTCGATATGTTTGGTGTGTTCGTGAAACACGGGATTTGAAGCAATTTGAATAGCACTTGTATTATCAGCATGAAGAGGGGTAGAGTCAGGCTGTGAAAATCCAAGCTCCTCCAAAAGACTGCGTAACCACACAATTTCAGAACAAGCAGAAGACATTGAACGATATTCAGCCTCAGTAGAAGATTTAGAAACACGATCCTGCTTCTTACATTTTCAGGAAATGACGGCACCGTCAAGAAACATACACCAGCCTGTAGTAGATCGACGAGTATCCGGACACCCTGCCCAATCAGCATCACTATATGCCAGAAGTTGTAAGGGTGAGCCTCTAGGAAAGAATAACCCACGTGTAGGTGACCCTATAAGATAGCGGATAATGCGACAAACAACAGCAAAATGAAGATGCCGAGGAAAAGACATAAACTGGCTGACTTGGTGAACAACATACGAAATGTCAGGTCAAGTTGTCGTTAGGTAGATAAGACTTCCTACCAAACCTCGATAGATAGTTGGATTAGCCAAAAGATCTCCTTCATCTTTCCTGTATTTGACATTTACTTCCATAGGAATATCAACTAAAGTAGTTCCTTCTAAACTAGCCAAAGTGATCAAATCTTGGATGTACTTATGTTGGTTTAAATATATGCCATTTGATCGATGATGTACCTCCAATCCCAAAAAATATGTGAGTTGGCCAAGATCTTTCATGCAAAATGTTGCATGTAACATAACTTGAAGCTTAGTAATCAACCTAGTATCAGTTCCCGTAATGATTAGATCATCCACATAAACCAAGATGAGAACTATACCCGTGAAAGACTTGTGGAAGAAAAGAGAATAATCATATTGACTTTGTGCGAAGGAGAAGTTAAGAAGTGTAGTATGAAACTTCTCAAACCAAGCCCGAGGAGCCTGTTTAAGCCCATACAAAGAACGACGTAGTTTACAAACATCATTAGGAGAGGAAGTAGTCATACTGGAGGGAAACTTCTCAAATTGATGCTGGTAAGTCAACCAACAACAATTTGCCAACAAGAAACTTATGGCGCTGTCTAGTCATAGCTTTGGTAAAGATATCAGCCACTTGAAGATCTGTGGAGATGTAAGGAAGAGAGATGACTTTACTGGTCAAGGCTTCCCTAATATAGTGACATCAACCTCGATATGTTTGGTATGTTCGTGAAACACGAGATTTGAAGCAATTTGAATAGCACTTGTATTATCAGCATGAAGAGGGGTAGAGTCAGGCTGTGAAAATCCAAGCTCCTCTAAAAGACAGTGTAACCACACAATTTCAGAACAAGCAGAAGACATTGAACGATATTCAGCCTCAGTAAAAGATTTAGAAACACGATCCTGCTTCTTACATTTCCAAGAAATGAAGGCACCGTCAAGAAACATACACCAGCCTGTAGTAGATCGACGAGTATCCGGACACCTTGCCCAATCAGCATCACTATATGCCAGAAGTTGTAAGGGTGAGCCTCTAGGAAAGAATAACCCACGTGTAGGTGACCCTATAAGATAACGGATAATGCGACGAATAGCAGCAAAATGAAGATGCTGAGGAGAAGACATAAACTGGCTGACTTGGTGAACAACATACGAAATGTCAAGTCGATTTGTCATTAGGTAGATAAGACTTCCTACCAAACCCCGATAGATAGTTGGATCAGCCAAAAGATCTCCTTCATCTTTCCTGTATTTGACATTTACTTCCATAGGAATATCAACTGAAGTAGTTCCTTCTAAACCAACCAAAGTGATCAAATCTTGGATGTACTTATGTTGGTTTAAATATATGCCATTTGATCGATGATGTACCTCCAATCCCAAAAAATATGTGAGTTGGCCAAGATCTTTCATGCAAAATGTTGCATGTAACATAACTTGAAGCTTAGTAATCAACCTAGTATCAGTTCCCGTAATGATTAGATCATCCACATAAACCAAGATGAGAACTATACCCGTGAGAGACTTGTGGAAGAAAAGAGAATAATCATATTGACTTTGTGTGAAGGAGAAGTTAAGAAGTGTAGTATGAAACTTCTCAAACCAAGCCCGAAGAGCCTGTTTAAGCCTATACAAAGAACGACGTAGTTTACAAACATCATTAGGAGAGGAAGTAGTCATACTGGAGGGAAGCTTCATGTAGATTTCTTCTTTTAGATCACCATGAAGAAAAGCATTCTTCACATCCATTTGATGTAGTGGCCAAGATTTAGAAGCAGCAATGGCTAGGATGGTCTGAATTGTAGTCATCTTGGCAACAGGAGCAAATGTCTCCTCATAATCAACCCCATATTCTTGTTTATTACCAAGGGCGACTAATCGAGCTTTGTAACGATCCAAAGAGCCATCAGAACGAAGCTTTATAGAGAAAACTCATTTACTTCCAATAGGTTTGACCGTGGGAGGACAAGGAACAATGTCCCAAGTGTAATTTTCTTGAAGTGCTTGTAGTTCTTCTTGTATTGCTTGTTTCCAACATTCATGTTCCATAGCCTATCTGTAACAAGATGGAATGCAAATAGAAGACAAGGTAGTTGATAGAGATACAGGTGTTTAAAAACCATACCAATCAGGGGGTTTAGACGATCGAGTGGATCGACGAAGAGGTATGATAGGAGTGATAGGATCTAGTGTTAGGGCAGAATCATGAAGAGAACCAGGATCAATTTGACGACATCTTTCATACACAAAACCAGGCTTGAATCATTCCACAATTGTTGAAGAATCTGAAAAGTGTGGCATAAGAGATAAAGAGGAAGATGGTGGTTCAATAAATAATGGAAAGAAATATTGATTTTCAAAGAAAACCAAATTCCTAGAAATTCTAATACAACAGGACTGTGGATCATAACAAACATACCTTTTTTTGAGTAATAGCATATCCTAGAAAAGCACACTTATTGGGCAGTAAATTTGTTACGTTCGTGAGCAGGAAGATGCACAAAACAAACACAACCAAAAATACGAAGATTAGAGTTTGAAGGAGAATGCCTAATTCAACTTAAAAAAAGGAGAAACATTTTGTAATGTTGGAGAAGGTAACTGGTTTATTAAATGAACAACAGTAGAAAGTGCTTCACACCAAAAGCGAGGAGGAATAGATGATTCAAGCAAAAGTGTTCTTATTACATCAAGAAGATGACGATTCTTTCTTTCGGCAACACCATTTTGTTGCGGTGTGGATGGACAAGAACACTAAGATATGATCCCTTGATTTTGAAGAAAACTTTGAAATTCATGAGACATATATTCTCCTCCAAAATCAGATCTTAAGATTTTTATGTGGGCAGAGAATTGAGTTTCAAGAAGTGCGACAAAACGTTGAAAAATAGAGAAAACTTCTGCCTTAAACCGGAGAAAGTATACCCAAGTAAATCGACTGTAGTCATCTATGAAAGTGACAAAATACTTATAAGATGCATGAGAAACAACGGGTGAAATCCCCCAAACATCGCTTTGAATAATGTCAAAATAATGGATTGCACGATATGCATTAAGTTTTTGGCTGTGTTTTGTTGGGAATGAGTTCATAAACTCATTTGTGGGTTGATGGTTTGATGATTTAGGGCTAAGATTGAAGAAATTTGTTTTCGGGTTTTTTGGAGTTTGGGTGAAAATTTGGGGTTTTGCTTGTTTGATGGTTGCATGCTAAAAATGAGGTGTTTTTTGTGATGTTTGATGAAAATGTGAGCTTTTGGATGGATTGCATGTTGGTTTTCTGGTTGATTTTGCAGGATTTGGTGAAGTTTTTCGAAAGTTATGGGTTGCTGCTGAGCTTCGCGCTGAGCGCCATTCTTCGCGTCGGGCGCGTGGCCACCTGGAGGCTCCATTTAGGCAAGCTTGTCGGGCGCAAAGATGTGTGCGCCGGGCGAGTTTGAGAATGAGAGCCTCTAGATGGCCCACGCCGAGCACGACTTAGACTGCGCCGGGAGCGATACCAGTACGTGACAAGATTTTGGGTTTCTGGCATGGCACCGGGCGCGACCATTGTCGCACTAGGTGTGGGGACTCCTTGGGAGTCTCTGCCATGGGGGCGCTAGGCGCAATTTGAATTGCGCTGGGCGCGAGACCTTGGGAGGTCTTTGCCTTCCTCGCACCGGGCACGGGTTTGGGCACGCCGGGCGTGTGAGACTCCTTAGAGTCTCTACCTGGGTTTGCGCTGGCCGCAATTTGTATTGCGCCAGGCGCGAGGGAGCCTTGGGCTCTCTGGATGGGTCACGCCGGGCACGGGTACTCTTGCGCTGGGCGCGCTGGCCCCTGGTGCTCTCTAGTTGTGCCACGCCGGGCGCAATCAGGAGTGCACCGGGTGCGGAGGTAATGTTTCATTATATGCTGTTAAATGTTGTTTTATGCCGAGTATGAGATGTAATTGATGAATATGCTGAGATGACTAGTTGATAATGCTGAATTATGATGTTGAGCTGTATTAGCTGTTATTGCTGTAAGTCGTGCTGTGCTGTATGCTGATATAAACTGTTGTAGGCCGTAGGGGTGAGCTGTGGTGGGCCATAAGGCGGAGCCGTTGTAGGAGATCTCCGAGCTGATATGCGTGACGACGCATTGTATGTTTTATTTCTATTTATGTTGTATAGCTGATGAGTTGTATGCTGATGTTGTGCTGATAGTTGTAGCTATTTATCATTCATGTATGATATATAAATGTATGCTGAATTCTTTTCACTAGCTTACCCTTTGTTGTTTCCATGTGTTTGGGTTGCGATGATCATACGTTGTATGGGTGCAGAGCAGGGTTAGGTTGGTGAGTTAAGGAGGGACTGTAGCTGGCAGTTGAGTTGATTCCTTTTGATGTTTTGTTATTATAGCTACCTAGTGGGGTAGTGATGGATGTATTTTTGATTTCTTTGATGTTTAGCTCAGATTGGACCTTGTATATATATATATATATATACTTGTTCTTTCTGTGTGGCGCCTTTTTGTTGTGTTGTGTGTAGTGACCAGCCGGGTCGTTACAACTTTCGTCTCGTTCTTGACTTATTCTCATATGATGCCTGTTTTGGTCTTGCGTCTGATCCCCAAGGTTTAGCTGATAGATTCGTCTTGTCTTGTATTTGATTTAGGCTTGAATCAACCTTAGTCTTGATACTAGCTTTGCTATCGTCTGATGTCTTGTTCAATTCGATTATGCTTGATCACACTTCGTTTTTCATTTTTGCCTGAACTTATTGTTATCCATCTGAAACACTAATGCACATGTTAGGAGTAACAATATGTATTATATTTGTCATATTCAAAACCTTGGTGAGAATTGCGAATGCGCTTCGTTTGACTTAACAACAACAATTTTTTTTTATCTCAATTTGCTTTTAAGAAGCAAGAAACTGAAGAAAAAAGGAACAATTATCAAACCCTCAATGTTGGCTTCTCTTTACAAACTGAAGCTCCTCAAGCTTGAATCTCAACTTTTACAACTTCAACTCAATTTCAAGGGAAGATCTAAACATTCCTAATGATGTTATAAGGAGAAAATGTATTTCTTGGCTCAATAGCTATTATTCCTCTAAAACCTTTTCAAAACTTAGATAAATGAACTTATAAAGTTCATGTTTTCTGAAAACCTTAAATACCTCCACTATTATAGGTCAATCTTTACCTCAAGTCAAACATCTCTAAAAAATCTAACTCTCAAAGATTCTTTAATCCTTAGAATTCTATAAACAACTAAAAACACAACATAATAACATAAATCATCATACAATATCTAAACATGCTTAAGACTAAACACACAACATTACAATATAATTTATATATTTAAAATTAATATTTATATATATATATATAATTATTATGAACTTTAGTTATATATAATAAAAATTTAGCTTGTAAAATGCTAAGGTTAAAGTTCTTGTTTATAAATAAATTTGATAAATAAAAATTAAATTAGATAAGTAGTTAAACAAATATCTAAAATCATTCTCATTAAAAAGAAGTGTCTCTAAAAATATTTTCAACAAAAAAAAATTCTTTAAAATAACACACTTTCACATGTAAATTGCGTTAGTATTTATTATATTGGGATGAATTTAAACTAATAACAACATTCTAGAGTATGTTTAGATTTTAATTTCGAACTTTTAAATCAAGTTTTAACAGCCTCATACGTTTTAGGTAAAATTACAATAAATCAAAATTTTCTTATAATTCGACGAAATTATGATTTAATATTTTTTTTAATGAATACCCAAATACACCCTTAAATTATTTAAACAGAAATCTGTTTATTTGAGAAATTTCATTACATAACCTGTGTTTTTTTTTTTTTTTTTTTACAATCATAACCTTTGGTGTTAGTATTTATTGCTCTCTTTAACATGTCATGCATACGCGCACGTTTGCTCAGAGTATACTAATTGATAAATATAATATTCTGTTTTATATTTATTCAATAGGTCAACATTATGCCTATTAATTTATTTGTATGCTAGGTTGTATTTTAATTCACACTGACGCCGATCTGTTCATTTATTGCCCTTTTTCCAATAGTCTTATCGAGTTCACGTAAAGGTCAGATATCTATTTTAAAATGAATCTTAATCTTTGGAAATTTTTAAATTGACATATAATAATATAACATATGAAAATTTATATAATAAATTATTATATGATGTTAAATTTTTTTAAAGATTTATAAATTTGATTTGTGTATCAAAAATTTGAATTTAATAATTTAATCGTTAAAATTTAATATAAATTACGAGTTAATAAATATAATAAATTTATCAAGATTTATTATTTGAGTAAGTGAATTTCTCTATAGGCATATATATATATAT